TTTTTAACTACAAATTAGTAATATTTGATTATTTATTATTATACATATGTGTGTATACAAATATTCATATAAAAATATTTAAGAAAAATATACTATATGATTAAAATATTTATGGAAAATATAGTAATAACATGAAACCCCAAAACATTTTAAAAACATATACTATATAATTAAAAAATAAAATTAATTTAAGTTGAGTAATACTCTCATTTTGTCAATGAGTTTAACAGTAAAAATGTGTATCAAATAAATATAACCATTTGAATAATGAATTGTATCAACATTATTATTATTATTATTATTATTATTATTATTATTATTATTATTATTATTATTATTATTATTACTAAATGTTATTATTATTATTATTGTCGTTGTTGTAATAAGAGCTTAAAAGAATGAAATTTGGCTTTATATCATTAGCAATATCATTAGACATAAAATGAACTGAAAATAAACGTATGAGAACAGACCCTTACAGTAGTATATTTCGTAGAAATTGTTTGATTAAGTTTTAAAATTAGTTGTCTGAATGTGAGCTATGCAAATGATTTTGCTATTGTCCACATTTATTATCTTGGTAAATGGTAAACCAGGCTAAAAGCATCTAAATATTGATTTTTGAATTTCCAATTGGTGTGCGGATTGATTGAAGACGTTGGGCGTGTTGGGGGGCTAGCGTTTGAGTAGTTTTTAGTGGTTTGACTAGGTCAAACCACTACTTAACAAAAAATGTAAGTGTTTGGCAAAGTAGTGGTTAGGGTAGCTTTTAGTGGTGAAGGTAGCTTTTATGAAAAGTTAGAAATATTAGTTTTTTGAAATTAGAGGTAGCTTTTGAAAATTTAATCTATAGTATTAAATATAAAATATATATAGATTTTTAAATGTAACAGCTAGTCAACCGCTACTTTACCGAATACTCATACCTAAATTATCTATCTTCATAGCTAACAGCTTGAAGACAACTAAAAGCTACCTACACAGCTGACAACTACCTTCACAGCTATATTACGCCGAACACGGTCGTTGAAGTTTTATGGACTGATACGTTAGGACACAACTGAAAAAGACATAGGAGAAGGGAGAAGAACGATCTTTTTTTTTTTTTCCTATAAGAAGGAAAATATTAAATTGGGTATTTAAACATATTTTTTTCTTAAATCTAATTATCTAATAGTATAATTAACAGTTTTATTAATGTTTAATTTAACAGATTATTACTACAGTAATTAAGTATAATCTTGGGTGGTACCATGTGGAAGAAAAAATAAATTTGGGTACCATATAAAAAAGACAAAAGTCTACTGACACCATATGGAAAATCCCACAAAAATTTAACCAATTAATCTAATTATTTTCTTTAGGAAAAATTAATCTCAATTTTTTCTCGTTCGCTCAAAATAATCCCAACTATGATTTATTTTTAAATAATCCGAACTTTGAGGGTCATTAACTTTGATCAGTTCCAAGTGACTAATAACCTGCTATAGAGGTAATTTTTTTTGTTTAAAATACACGTGTCACCGCGTGATTGGTTAAAAAAATAAAAAAAATAATAATAAAAAACTTCTTTAGAAAAGCCAACCATCCCATCCCATCCCACCTCAACCACGACAAACCCACTACCACCCCCCTTCCCTAGCTCCCCATTTTCCCAGCAGCCCCCTTCACATCCCCTCACCTTCCGACAACCCTTCTCTTCATCCCCCCCCCCACCGGAATCCCCTTCCCCAGTTCCCCACTACCTACTCATCGAAATTGCCCCTCTCCCGGATCCACCCCTATTTCCGTCCCTCCCATCCCCCACCTCTGTCGCTATCGCAACCCCAACCTTCCACCTCTATCGGTGTCGGCAAGACTCAACCCCCCATTGTATATGTTGGAGAACGCATCCCCCACCCTTTGTTGCTTGGATTCGATGATTAGGCTTGTGGGTTGGTCATTGGGTTTTGTTTTGGGGGTGGTTACAAGGCGATTTTCATGGCTGCGAGTGGTTGAGGGATGGTTGGAGGAAAGGGGAGGGGTGACAATAGTGGTTATGGCTGGCGGGTTCTGATGAAGGGGGTCGGCGCTGGGTGGCTGTGGTGGGCGACAGGTGGCTAGCAAGTTGGGGAAAAGAGAGAATTTTTTTTTCAAAAAAATAAATCAGATTTTTTAATGTAAAAATATTTTTGAGTTTTATTTTTATTTTTTTCAACCAATCATATAGTGCCACGTGTTCCTTAACCTGGTACAATAGGTTAGGTGATCGGTTGGGACCGTTAATAGCGGATGACTTTAAAGTTCAGATTATTTAAAAATATAATCCATAATTGGGATTATTTTAAGCGAACAGACATAACTTGGGATTATTTTTACCAATTATCCTCTTCTTTATAGGCTAAATATTGCATATAAGAAATTTAAACTTTTAATAATATGTCTATGATATAAACTCAATCAAACCATAAAATTTACTTCCTCCACCCACTATTATGTGTAATATATGCTATAATGGATGCTTCCTGCTTTGTACAACAAATGTTTTTCTTCCAATTTAGTAATTTTAGTTGCCACAATCAACGACATTGCTAATAGCATTAGGAAGCTCGAAAAGGTGGATTAAGCATGTTCGTAGGGATATCAATGTCATCCGCAATAAGCTTGCTGAAGTTGGTAATGATATGGCTATTGGCGTACGTGGGCGTGGGTGTCGAGGTGTGTGGGTTCGTGGGGTGGCATGGTGGTTCGTACACCTCGGGTGTACTATGCACATGGTACACCCAGATTAAAGCGGAATCGCCGGAATGAACATCGTTTATAGTTATAAAGAGCATCATGAATTTATAAAAGAACATATCACTGAAATAAAAAAAGAACACAGTAATTTTGATGAATGGTATCTAATTTTAAAAAGGTAAAAGATAATACTAATTGAGTTTTACCAAAATTTTAAAGTCAAATCATTTCAAAATAATCAGTTATCAAGAAGTTCTCAATCTAAAATTATTTTCACCCAAATATAATTCAAAATTTCATTTTTAAATTTCAAAAATTAAAAATATAAGAACATATTATTCAAGTAAAAAGAACATGCTTAATTTATATACCTAAATGAACATTGTTTGTAAATTTGTAATATAAAGAGCATATAATTAGGACTTAAAAAAACATATTGATTAGACTTCAAAACATATTTCATTTCATTATAAAAAAATGATAAAAGAACATTCATCAGAATATGAAGAACATCATCTTCAACCTAAGAAAATATAACCAAAACAGAAAAATAGATTAAAAAAAATTGAAAATTACCTTCTCTTTCAACAACGAATGAATTCGTCAATTACACCTTTCAATTAAAAGATTAATGGGAATGATAAAATCTACTCCGTAATAACATTAAATCAGTTCGAAATCCAAAAATTATCATGGCTTCTTTCTCTATAAAAATTCAATTTCTCTTTCTCAACAAAAAATGAAATTCTATTTACCAAAAGTAATATAGAATGTAAATAATAAATCAATTTCATAAATCAAGGATATAAATAACAAAACAATCCCTTAAATCAAGGAGAGAATCGTCAAATTTTATTTTTTTTCAACTCATGTACTTTGTAATTGCAAACGATGTTCTTTCCGTGTTTATATAACTCTTGTATTATAAGTAGGTGTACCACGAGCATGGTACACCTGGGTGTATGATGAAAATTTCAGCGTGTAAGGGCTTGTAGCCTCGTGGGTGATACCCTTTTTAAATTTTTTTTTTATATTGGATTATTATCCACTCTCTTCTTACTTTTCAATAATCATGTGTAAGAAATTTTGCATTGGATTTCACACACATCCCCTTTGTTTCGAGGGTTTTTTGTCCCTCGGGAGAGTTACAACACTAAGACTGGATCCAGCAAGGGGCGCATGTACCTGCAAAGTAAACGGACCGCCGGATGGTCGGTGGTCCGCCTCCGAAGATTAAGTTAGTAAAGTATTCGGAGTAAAACGTGCGGAAATAAAGTTATCTGCTCGGATTCCAAGCTCGGATAAGGTGTTGTCTGATCTGTTTCCTGAGAACGACAACTCTATAATAAATGTTGATGTGACGTGTTGCCTCGTGTTACGTAATTATCCCCTCAAATGAGGGAATTGTCCCTATTTATAGGATCTTTTGGGAAAGTGTGCTTTCCCTAGGATCTGGAGACCTAGGGATTAGGGCACGCCGCAAAACGACGCCTCAAGGTTTGGGCCCTTAAAGGCCGCCATTTCAGAGGTGATATCTGAGTGACACGTGTCACTGATCCTAAAAGGCCATTTGGGCGTCTCTTAGGGTGACACATGTCGCCCTTCTAATGGTCCATTTTGGATCATCAAACATCCAAATCAAGGAGATATCTGCCTACCACGTGTCACCATCTTGAAGGTCCAAGGTGGCGCTTCTTCCAGCGACACGTGGCGGGCTCCGATTGGGCCACTTGGCCGGGTATAAAAATACCCAAATCACCCTTTGTAACTTTGTTACACATAATAGTGGGCAAAGGAAGTATAACAAATCCACCCAAATACAAAGGAGACAAGGTAATAATTTATGAACACTAAGGGCCTTCTCATTTACTGAACTCAGCTGAACTGAACAGAAATAAGCTGAACTGAACTAAACTGAATATTTTATAAGAGAAGGAAATTAGGAGCTGAACTAAACTGAACTGAACAGAAATAAGCTGAATTGAACTAAACTGAATATTTTATAAAAGAAGAAAATTAGGAGCTGAATTAAACTGAACTGAGCTGAACTGAACTGAAAATAAAATGTACGAGTACAAACCCTAAATTTACCAAAAATCTAGCGAAAAATGAACAGAGACAAAATAAACAATAATATTGAACATATGTACTCCTACAGTCCAAGTATTTTTTGGGCTTTGGCACTTCACAATTATAGAATAAAAATATTCTCGTAATACCAAAAATTTCAAAAATAATAAAAAAAAAGCCCCGGGAAACCAATTCCAAAACCCCCAAAATTTCCCGCGAAAATCATCCCCAAAATTCAACCTTTTATCCCCAAAAGTCCACCCCATAAACCCTAACCATTTCACTCCCCAATTCAATCATTCCCCACTTCAGAAAACCAGATTCAGAGAGAGAAAATCCAAGATGAAGGTGAAATCAGTTAAGCTCAGAGAATCCCACAAAAATACCAACAACAATGGCAAACCTTCATTTTGCTCAGTTTTGTGGGACATGTATTCTACCCACATTGTTACTTCTTCCTCTTCAGATTCATCCATTTCTATCTATGAATCTCTCCTCCTTTCGAATCCGATGAAGAATCTCCGCCACCATCGAGACGGCGTCACCGCTTTAGCTCTTAGCCCTAATTCCACCTGCCTTGCTTCTGGATCTATCGATCGCACCGTCAAATTATACAAATTCCCAAGTTTGTTTTCTCTCTCCTCTTTACCTTTCTATTCTTGAATTCTTCATTTCTGTATGTTTTTTCATCTGGGTATGTTTTATTTATTTTTTTCTGGGCTCAAATTTATCTGGGTTGTTTTTATTTTTTTACCTAACCTTTTATTTTAATTTATTTTTTATTTTTGTATTGCTGATTTGCAACATGTTTTGAACTTGGACTTGGGTTGAATAGTTGATTGATAAAGGATTAGGGAGATTATTAGCTATGTTGGGTATAAGTAACATAGATCTGATATTTTTAATAAAAAATGTGATAATTTTATAAGTTATTAATTAGTGTTTCAAACACTATTCCCAAATTTGTGAGCAATTTTAGATTCATGTGATAGAGTGCATGTTGCAATTCTCACATTGCTGCTGTTTGTGATGATATAGGCTGAATATATCGAATCGACATTGATTAAGATTTGATTTATATTGGTTAAGGTTTACTGTTGCTTAATGAAGCAGGACAAGTGCATAAGAAATAGTATTCTTCTGTTTATGATAATAAATGATGTATTTTGAAGATGTATAATGCAATGACGTTCAACTAGTTGGACATGACTGCATTATTACGAGGTTTCAAATTTTTTGCATACTTGCATTAAGTTAAAAGTAAAACCAAGCTTTTTGTCTCACTGTATGATCATCCATAGGTGTAAGCAACACATCGCCATGGTATATAATTAACTAAAATTTGTGACATACTAAAGCTATAGTAGGTTGAAAAGGCGAAAATGATTAGTTTGAATGTTTGTGTGGAAGAGGGCATGAAATAAAACTAAAACTGAAATCTTATGATTTTCCATATAGGTGTCTTGATGTACAATTGTAGTGTAGTCTAATTATAACAGGTGTTTGCTTCCAAGTTTGCTTAATTTGTCAGGCCTTTTAACTCTTAAATAGCTTAAGTATCACTATTATTGAATCAGTTAAGCTGTATGTAAAGCATCAAGCTTCTTAATTCAGAATGTGAGCCATTTGTATAGAAATTAAATGTAGTAGCTAATTACGTCTAATATGAGTTTTATTCTAATGTCAGGTGGGGAGTTTCAGAACAATATTACTAGATTCACGTTGCCTATTCGGACACTTGCTTTTAACAAATCAGGAAGCTTGCTGGCAGCTGCTGGTGATGATGAGGGAATCAAACTCATCAACACAGTTGATGCTACAATTGCGAGAGTTCTTAAAGGGCATAAAGGACCTGTCATTAGCTTGGCTTTTGATCCTAATAATGAATACCTTGCTTCTCTTGATACAAAGGGGACGGTAATATTTTGGGAACTTCTTTCAGGAAATATGCTACATACTCTGAAAGGAGTAGCTCCTGATACAGGTTCAGATATGTCCATTACGAATGGTCTTAGCTGGAGTCCTGATGGTGAATTGCTAGCTGTTCCAGGGCTCAAAAATGATGTGGTAATGTTTGATAGAGATACAGCTGAAAAGGTATCTTCGTTGAGAGGTGATCATGTGAAACCTATTTGTTTCTTGTCTTGGTCACCTAATGGAAAATATCTGGCTACATCTGGTTTAGATAACCAAGTGCTGATATGGGATTTTGCAAAGAAACAAGACATTGACCGACAGAAGTTTGATGAGAGGATTTGCCATATGGCATGGAAACCAACTGGCAATTCATTAGCCGTTATTGATGTCATGGGAAAATATGGTGTTTGGGAGTCGGTAATTCCTTCATCAATGAAATCTCCAACAGAAGATGTTCCCAACTTACAGTCGAAGAACAACAATGGAATCCTCTTTTTTGATGAGGAGGAGCAAGAGCCAAGTACATCTGCCAGTCTAAGTGATTTGGGTGAAGATGATTTTGGGGAATCAGTGCCTCAGACCAGGAAAAGATTGCGAAAATCTTCTATGTTGGAAGAAAATTTGGAAGAAGAGATTGATGAAGAATTAAATACATCTTCAAAATTTGAATCAAATAAAAGGCCTGCTAAGGCTCGCGAGGAACGCTTGGATGGTGGTGATAGGAGGCCAAAATCCATGATTGCTCAAAATGGTTCAAAAATACAAGAGCCATTTCAGCCCGGTGCAACTCCTGTGCAGCCAGGAACCAAAAGCTTTCTCTGTTACAATATGCTTGGAAGCATAACTACTATGCAGCATGATGGATACTCACATATAGAGGTTAAACAATCAACTATATTTTGTTTTTCTTCTCTGGTGTCTTTGTTGCTGTATGACTCACAAATTTGTACCTTTCTTTGCAGATCGATTTTCATGACACAAGTCAAGGTCCAAGAGTTCCAGCTATGACTGATCATTTTGGATTTACCATGGCTTCTCTAAATGAGAATGGAAGTGTTCTTGCAAATCCAAGGAAGGGCGACAAGAATATGAGTACTCTCATGTATCGTCCTTTTAGCAGCTGGGCAAATAATAGTGAGGTTAGCCCATTAGCTCTTTAACAATAACAAAATTTATTCATCTTTCGTTTTGATTGTCATGATTGGTAACTGTGTATTTAGAATATGCTAACATTTGTTATAAAGAATATTCTGAAGTTTTACTGGATGCTCATCTTTGTACTTGATGGCATTAGTGGTCTATGCGGTTTGAAGATGAAGAAGTGAAAGCTGTAGCACTTGGTACTGGGTGGGTGGCTGCTGCAACAAGTGCTAATTTTCTCCGCATCTTCACTGAGGGTGGCTTGCAGGTTGGTCTATAAAACTTATCATATAAGAATCTTTTCATAATTCACTTGTATATATATCAGGAATAACAAAAAAAAATCACGGCGTAAAGGATGTTTGAAGATACAACATCAAATGACTTAAATGTAATACTCAAAGCCACATACATTTGTGTAACATAACATGTGTGCTACTCTTTGTTAGTCAGTGTATGGTTAAATTAAAAGCTGCTGAAAAGATATACTCCATTTATGCAACTAAATTAGTTCTACCTTGATTTAGAGTTTTAGCATAAATGTAATGCTATGTGCTTACTTATTGCTTTGATGATTCTTGCAGAGACACATTCTCTCCCTTGATGGTCCAGTTGTGACAGCATCTGGCTTTAAGGACAAACTTGCTGTTGTCACTCATTCCTCTCAACCTCTTCCTTCGAATCATCAGGTAATTTATTCATACTCCAAACTATATTACTTAGCATCACAACTGTACCAAATGGCACCCCTAACATTTATAATGCTGATTTGGTACTTCTTTTAACATCTTATTCAAGATATATTAACTCATGTGTGACATCTTGCCGCATGAATCAATGTCTATCTGATTCCTTAATTTGTGCTATTTTCAGATGTTAGAGTTCAGAGTATTTAACATTAGCAATGGAACCCAACCTCTTAAAGGATGCCTGCCCTTGTCACCTGGTTCAAACTTAACATGGATTGGATTTAGTGAGGAAGGCCACCTAGCTTCTTATGATTCTAAGGTATGTCCTCTAAAGCTAAAGTTTTCTAGTGATAATTTGCTCTTTGGTGATGGTTTACTAAATTTCATAATATATAAATGTCTAGGGCATGCTGAGAGTGTACTCTGATCAATTTGGTGGGAATTGGCTTCCTCTATTCAGGTTAATATCTTTTAGACTTTTGTTTGATTATTTGTTCTCGCTGTCCATCATAACCTAAATTTTAACAATGGTAATCTGATTTGGCAGTGCCAGCAAAGTTAGGAAGCCAGATGAAAATCACTGGGTGGTTGGTTTGAGTGCTGAGAAGTTGTTTTGCATTATATGCAAGTCTCCTGATTTATATCCCAAGGTAAAGCTGAATTATCCCTTACAACTCAAGACACTCTAGTTCCTCTTTCTATAGCTTATGGAAATCTGTATCATTTTTTAGGTATCATCCAAACCAGTTCTCTCGCTTCTTGATCTTTCATATCCTCTTGCATCTTCTGATCTCGGAGCAGAGGCTCTTGAAAAAGAATTCATCTTCAGGAACACACGATTATTACAGGTTTGGCTTTTTCCTCCTTCATTGGTCATCCAAAGCAATGCATTGCTAGTGTTACGTGACATAGCTTTCTATTTGTTTTAGCGCAATTATTATAGGCACTTCTAATTTTTTTTTTTTTTTTGCTTGTTTCAGATTCAAAAATCAATTGAAGAAACAGAAGCTGCTGGTATGGATTGCTCACTTCTTGATGATGAAGCTTTTGATATGGAAGCAGCACTTGATAGGTGCATTTTGAGGCTTATTGCATCTTGCTGCAACGGTATGATGATCTGAAGTTTGTGCTTGATGAAATCCTCTCCTTTGAATGTATGCATCTTTTAAAGCAACATTATTAAACTGCCACTGTTCTCAATTTCAGGTGATAAGCTAGTACGTGCTACTGAACTTGTGAAGCTCCTGTCAATGGAAAAATCAGTTAGGGGAGCCATAAAGCTGGTTACAACTTTAAAGCTTCCGAGCTTAGCAGAAAGGTTCAATGGCATCTTGGAGGTATGACTATTTACACTCTTCACTAATTTGTGCTAAGATTTTTTTGGAAACAAAGTTTTTTTTTTTTCTTTCCTTTTTTCTTTTCTTGGATATAGATCTAAATCACTAACATAAATTTGAACTGTCTTGCTTATCTCAGGAGCGATTGCTGAATGATACAACCAAAAATGTGGTGCTATCTCATACTGATTCCCATGCTGATGCCTCTACTAGAACAGACACCATTGATAAGACAAACATTACTCCAAAAAATTTAACTGAAAAGTTCATAAGCAGAAATAACACCTTGAGTAGTAGCTTGCATTCAAACTCAATAAACGAGCCATCAGAGCCCATCACTCCCTCACCCACACCTAAATTTACAGCTCCTTTATTCCCTAAGAAAGCAAAGATCCAGGAAGGAAGCAGTTTCATGATGGAACAGAAGAAAACAGATGGTCTAACTACTGTACAGAAAGCTACAAACATTACCAAGGATGTTGATAGTTTAAAAAAGCAAGAAAATGCTGAAGAGGCAACAAAGAAAGTAAGATTGTCTGGTGCCTCTAATCCATTTGCCAAATCAGGAAATGACTCTGATGTACGACCGAAAAACCCATTTGCAAAGTCATCAAGCATTCAAGAGAAATCCTCACTGTTTGATTCGATCAAGAAGATGAAGACAGTCAGCTAGGAAATAGCTGCTCTGAACTTTTGTTTAGGGATATTGTATAATGTACATAAATTCAACTCTTATTGCTTGATTTGTGATCCTTTTTCAAGTTTGATAGAATATGATAATGCAATTTTCACATTGATCTCAGTAACTCAGTTGCAGAGTCTCTCGTGAGAGCGATGGAACAGCTGAAATTAGTTGAGTTATGCCTGTTTAATGATTTTTATCAATCATCACAAGGCTCAATAATTTGTCAAGGTACTTGTCTGAAAAAATTTGACAACCCAACCTTAATTGATTTAGACCTACATCGGCTACATGTACCTTCAAGGCTCAAGCTGTCAAGCATATTAGTGGCCAATTCATGAGCCCCCCTGGCCCCTTCACACATTTATGGGTATAATAAAGTAGAGGCTAGTCTTTAGAAGGCCACCCTAAGATCTCCTTTTGGATGATCAAAGTAAGGATAGCATATTATTAAAAGTTTTGAACTAATAGAGAATCATAACGTTGTTATGCTCTATGCCTTTATATTAACCATGAAGTCATTAACATAGGTAATTTTTAAAAGATAATAGAACATAAATGGATATTAAATTTGCAATGTAGGAACTAGGAAGACATAATTGAGGATATGAAGGTTTTCTTTTATAAATGGATATTCAACTTGCAATGTAGGAAGACATAATTGAGGATATGAAGGCTTAATTAGTCTAAAATATTGTTGTTGAAATATTTAGGATGCTTTTGATTTTTGATTTTTTTTTTTTACTTTTAGGATGCTTTGAATACTTTCTACTCATTTAGGGAGTAATATAAACTTATTTCCTGTCAATGTAAACTTGTTTAATTTTTTCTTAAAAAACAGACACAAATTTCATTCTATTTTAATTTTAAATTAGATTTGGTTCTCTTATTTTTCATCAACTTTTTTTTTCTTGACGAGAACTTATCTAAACCTATCAACTCTTTAATAGAGTTAAAGCCGGTTCACATTTACTGAACTGAGCTGAACTGAACTGAAATTAATATTTTATGAGAGAAGGAAATTAAAAGCTTAACTGAACTGAACTGTACTGAAATTAAGCTGAAGTGAACAAGCCCTCATTTTTCTTAAACAAGTTAAAATTTAATAGTGAAGAGAGCAATCTCAAGAAATACGTAGTATGTTGTACCACAATTTTAATTCTTTCTATTATTTTAATAAAGTTAATTTAAGTCTCGTTTCACTTGATCTTTAAAATATAATATTATATAAACAAAATTTTAGTTTAGTAAAAATAAATACACCACAATAAAAAATAATTTCATTTCAGTAAAAAAATTTATGAATTTTATTTTTTTAACTACAATAAATTAATCTCAATTAAGCAAATATAATTTTAGTTTTAAAAAAAAATATTTTCAATTTTACCAAAAAAAAAAAGGAAAAATGAACAAAACTTAATATCTATTGTCTCCGTTTCGTATTAATCGCAATTCGCAACACTTTCCTTTTACATCTGTTTCACATTTGCAATACTTATATATTTGGAAAGGACCCACCATTATTTTATAATTTCTCTCTCCCACTAATTTCACAAATATTTTATTATTTCTCTTTCTTTCCAGTTCCACTTACATTACTTTTTTTTTTTTTTTTTATTTCTCTCTCTTACTAACAATATTTTATACAAGTATTATACTAAAAAAAAAACTTTGTGAACACTCTAATGTTGCGATTAATACAAAACTGAAGGATTATAAGATAGTATAAGACTAGATGAAGCCCGTGCGATGCACGATTTGTTTAAAAATAATTTTTTATACATATATTTTTATGTGCTAAAATTTGTTATATATTTAGATAAAATTCCTAATATCAAAAGATAATATTTTATATTTAATTAATTTAAATTGAGAAATTTCATTCGTCAATTTTGCTTACGTGACATTTTAATTATAAAAGATTTATAATAATCTCCTATTTAATTGGTTACTACTAAAAACTTGGGAAAAAACTTCCCTTTAAATATATATATTAGATTAAAAAAGAACATGTAAAATTTCAACTACATAGATCCTTAAAAATACATTAAACTAGTTTTGTGCCCCGGCGATGCCCGAGTAGTTTATGGACTTTTAAGATAAAATTATACTACGTATTATAATTCAATTTGATTGAAAATAGAATTCTAAATTAACTCTTTTTGCTACAAAGTCAATCTATATTTATCCAACGTGGATACTTGGCGAAAAATTAAAATGCTAAATGATGTTGTCTTGTGGCCTAATTATAAATTTATTATTTGGTATTTTATCAAAAATATAACTCTAAATTAATAATCTTATTCTAAAATTCTATCCTATAGAATTCTTACCTATATTTTTTAATCTTATGAAATCTATCCAAGGTAGCGCGACACTTGACGGTTTTTTTTTTTTTTTTTTTTTTTTTGTTTTATCATATGAAGTTTATTTAAATTTACCCCAAGGTGGCGCGACACTTGGCGAAAAGTCAAAATGCCAAGTGTCGCTGTCTCGTGACCTGGCTAAAAGTTTAGCTTTATATATTAGTTATATGATCATGATTCCATATATTTTGCAAAGCAACCAAGTATTTTCCATATCTTTAATTTTTTTTTGAGGAGATTCCATATCTTTAATTTGAAATGAAGCAAATACGTAGTACTGTAATATTTTTTTTCAAAAATTAAAAAATAAATAAATAAAAAGGGAGGCTAGAATTAAAAGTCAAAATGCTGGCATACTCCAAAGCAAGAAAGATCCGGGGAACCTGCCAAACACCCCCTCCTTCAAAACTCATCCTTTTTCCATTTTTCGTAACTCTCTTACACAATTACAGAATTACTCTCTTCTCTCTCCTTTTCCTTCTTTCAGAGATCTCAATTCCTTCTTCAATGGCGGAAGTTTCTTTCCTCCATTTCCCAGAAGATGACCACGATTTATTCGTTGAACACGACGTTTTCTTTGAAGAATTCTCCACCCTCGATTCCTTCCCCTATTCCTTCTCTCCTCGCCGACACGGCGGCAGCCATGAAAGAGACGATTTCTTCGCACCCAGTTCTTCCAATCGGAGTGTCGGACAATCGGGTGTTGTTGAGGGTATCATGGGAGATAGGAAAAATCAGGTAAATTTTGTAATTGAGTTGTTACATGAACAAGTTGAGCAATCTCATATTGTGGGGTGTGATGATTTTGTTTCTGATGTTGTAAATGATTTGAATGTTGGAATTATTGAGGATAATTATGATGTGGGTGTTGATGCTTTGGATTTGGAATTGCGATTAGGGTTAGGGTTAGGGTTAGAAGATGATGATGGGGATGATTGTAATTGTGGTGGGTTTGTTGTTTCTGAATGTGGGGATGAGTTTTATATTGCTAGGAGAGAGACTGGTACTAGTACTGTGAATTGGAATGATTTTGAGAATGAGAATGGTAATGATAATGATGATGAAGGTGAGATTCCGAGTGGTTTGGCCAGAATTGGTGGATTAATGATGGTTGGTGTCGATTCCGATTCTGAAGAGGAGGGGAATGGAGTGTGGAGGGTTCATGTGCATTCAGAGGAAGAAGATTATGAGGTTGATGATGTGAATGATGATGAAAGTATACCACTATGTTGGGATTCACTCAATTTGGAGGAGGTTGATCAAGGTGGGGTTGCTGTCGATTTCGAGTGGGAAGAGGTGGATGATAGAGTTGATGAGAGGGAGATCTTGAGTGTTGCTGCTGATGCTGAAGAAGAAGGGTCCGGGTCTATATCGGTTTGGGCCTATTCGGGGCCTGAGGAAGACGGGGTTGGAGAAAGAGAAAGAGGGAGAGGGTTGAGGAATTCGGAATGGGAGGTGTTGCTCAATGCTAACCATATTGGGAGGAATTCTGAGATGATTGGAAATGATAATGACGCTTACTTTGATGGTCATGATAATAACTTTCTTGCTGCGGAGTATGAGATGATGTTCGGGCAGTTTCCTGAGAGTGAGAACGCTTACTTGAGTCGCCCCCCTGCTTCAAAGGCTGTTGTTGAGAAGCTCCCCTCGGTGACCACAACTAAAGAGGATGTGCTGAATGAGAAAGCGCTTTGTGCTGTTTGTAAGGATCAGATTGAGGTTGGGGAGGAGGGGAAGCAGTTGCCTTGTTCACATCGGTATCATGGTGATTGCATCCTCCCTTGGCTTGGGATTCGAAACACTTGCCCTTTATGTCGGTATGAATTGCCTACGGATGACCCTGATTACGAGCAGAGGAGGGTCCGGAGAGCAGCTCGTGTCTTGTAAGTTCTCTAAACAAGGTCAGAAAGAACTCAATATTATAGGTTCTGCACACAATGTAGATAGAAGATTTTCCTGAAAGACTGATATGTTTTGGGTATCCATAGCTGAAATTCGATTTAATTTGTATATGTTTCGTTGAAGGATTCTTTGTCGTTAGATTGTAGTATTTTGATTTTGTATGTTTATATGTGAGGTGTGAACCCCATTCATACAATTTCGATTTTACAGTGTTTGGTGTATAATTTTATCTTTGAGACTTTGAAACAGTCTCATTGAGCAATACTGTCATCATTTCACTGACAAATTATACTACTTGTATCCGTCAAAAAAAAAAAAATTATACTACTTGTAATAAAGATATTGGAATTTTTTAAAATGCTTTCATTGATTAGTTTTCTGAATTTGTGTCATTTTCCTTGTTCATAGTTCTAGGACTTGTTCAAGTTTTTGAAACTATCAACCTGTGAATATTTTGCCAATCTACCTCGTAAAACATGTCATTTTCCTTGTATAAATACGAACAAAATGTATCAAGCTAACTTCTTGTCACAGCTCAAGATTTTTAATTCCTTGTTGATTCATGCATAATGGTATTTCACCTCCCGTGTGATTGTGTTGTAATTCCTCTGTTCCCTGATCTCGTCTCCTTTTTCTTCTCTTCTTTGTTCCCTGCATCTCGTCCCTCTTCTTTCTATGTTCCATCTTCTACCCTCTTTGTTGCCATGGCTGGATTTCCTTGAAATTTGGGGTTTAGGTTTCTTCGGTTGTCAAATGCCGCTGCAACGACACTGCAAGCTTGCAAACCAATGAACCATTAGGCAAGCTTGCAAACCAATGAACCATTAGGCAAGCCTGCCGGGAAAGGGTTCCATGG